CCAGGTATCTTCTCTATTAAAATTAGGATGTTTTTAATATCAATAGCCTCGCAAAACATCAATGGTGGGAATCGGTGCTCTTTTGCGAGTATTTGTGGTCTATCAAATCAGATATAATGGTTGGCCTGAACATACTAACATACTTCAGACTTCCCGGAGTGTCGGTGATTCATATCAACGATAAATGTAAAGAAAATTAAATCAAACTCGATAAAATCCCTATAGATTAGTTTTACTCCATGTAGTTTTATTAAGTGTCGAATTAGCATAAAAATAAGAAATCAGAATGTAAATTCACTTAATTTAGTAAGAAAAACTTTTGGGCACAGTTATCATGCCAGCATCTAGCTTTTTAAATGCAAGAGCTACTTATAAAATACTAGTACTTAAATTATTCATCGTACATATTTGAGCAACGTTGTAATAAATCTTAACCTCATTTATTCGTACGAAGTAATAAAATCCTACTACGGGAAGTCCGCAAAATGAATGTGGACGGCACACTTTGCTTACCACGCGTAGCAATCAGACTAAATACTTTCAATTTGGTAGTATTGTCGAAAACTATGAGCTGTTGCACGCAGACAGAAGTGTAGCAGATGTGTACCTAGTATATTCCCATAAACATTAAACATACGAAATCAGACGGTTTTTCTTCGTCGCTGAGTACCTACGTAAGAAATGGGCGCTTAAAATTGAAATTAAAACTTCAATATTATCGGTATAGACCAAAATTCAAAACTTTATTGCTAAAACAAATTATTACAAATGCAAAGAGAATTCAAACCCAGAAATACTACACCGCGAATGTTCAATGCATCGTTGAGTTAGCCGAGGTGCCTAGTCCATAATCATAATCAGCTTGCTAAAGCCATTAACGTGGCATAACGACTACGCCATTACTCTAAGCGTTTATAATGTTGAAGCTTTCGTTAGTGCCTCAGCTTGCCTTTTCCTCCTATTCGCACGATTTAATTGGTAAAATATTCTTAGTCAGTAGCTAAGCAGTGGACATGTAGCGGCTAATAACCAAACTGTGGACCTACCACAGATTTAGCCGGCGACAGTAAGGTGTGGTCAAATACTGTTGGTTAAACTAAGGTTTGTTCCACTGGACCGAATAACTTGTAAATAAAACAAATAATGTCCGTGGCTTTGCAGTATGGTTGCACCTTAAAATACTTCTTTCGTACTTTTGACAAAGGTAATAGTAGCCATTGTCATTTAAGTTATTATTGGGGCTTTACTATATCTAGTTTTACCCGAAAGTACGAGTATCAACCGGCCACATTTTGTAGCCGGCAAAAATGGGTGTAACCACACCACACTTCGACTTTTATCCGTGACAGATATAAACCATGCTAGTTCTACCCAGGACAGAGATTTTTTGGAACAAGTGGAAAAACTTAAGAGGATACCTTGAAAATGAATCATATTACGAGATAGTAGTACCGAGCACGCGCTCGAAAATAAACTACGTAAGCGCAAAACAATATTTTTTAACAAAACTATGTTATGCAATACCAGCGTAAAATATCAAATAGCGTTTTTTACTGGAAACGAGACGTTCCATCTTAGTCCTCAGGAGTGACAACGCATCTGTGTTTTGGTACTTAATTGAGAATAAATGAAGATGTCTATGGGCTACAGCATCCACTTATGATCAGGTGGACTGTGTGCTCGTTTGTCACGCTTATTCTAGATTTTATCGAAAAAGATCTTTATGTGAACTTAGGTAGGATTATTTACTATGCTCTAAAAATATTCCATGAACTAACTCCTAAAAATATTGTGGTGGCACGGAGAAATGTATCTAATTAGACACTAAATATTTTTTTTGAAATCGACAAAAATTACATGTTATCGTGTTTTACTATTACGTCAAGAAACATATAGGTAGCAAAAATTTGGTTCGTAATCTACAAAACTTAAAAAAATGTGAAATAGAAAAACCACCTAATTTCCGAGGTATCATACTTAAATTACTTAAGTATTCTTTGTAATCCATATTGCGAAAGAACCGCTATATCGATTACAAAGATTATATACGAAAAGCTACAGAAAACGATAGGGTTTCCTAGCAGGTTATAATTTTGTAGTTTTCTCTCGGAGTGACTGCGCTGCGCATGTTCCGATACTTCCGGTTCTCATAAACACGGTATTTTCTCGTGCCTTATTACTACTACTACTGAACTATAGTTATGTTAAAAAAATTGCAGGCCCTATAGATTTGTATTATGGGTTAGGTGCATAAAATATATATTCTCTTACTAAGACCTATTTAAAAATATACTTTTTTTATATAGAATAAGGGTGACAAACGAGAACACAATCCACCAGGTAAGTTAATGCTGTGGCCTATAGACATCCACCTACACATGAATTGTAGAAATGCGTTGCCACCCCTGAGGACTAAGATGGAATGCCTCGTTTCTAGATAAGTGTCTCCGGTTCGGTTCTTTACGAATGCATACGAAACACAGGACCATTAAGCTGCTACTTTACACTTGTATTGTGTGAGAGCGTGGTCTTGCCTCGGCCGAGCAACAATTCTCGCTACCTACAAACAATATAGCTGCAGCGTGGCTCTACCACGTATACATATGGTGACACAGACACGTTATGAAACTTGAGAAAATAAAAAACAATGTTAATAAAACAATTTTATTTATAATTCACTGCGCGTAGCGACAAATTTAAAAATTTTAAAAAGTAAATTATGTATAATAACAAATCATATTATTTAGATAGGTAGTTTTAAACATAATAACTAAAATTAAGGGTTTCATTTTTTAATACCGTCTTCGTTGTTTGGTGGGATGGGGGGGTAGGTCTGCTTTAAAATCTCCCATCATTTTGTTGGGGGGCGGGTCCAAGGCCTTCGTGGCCAATTTTTTTTTTTCTACAAATAAATATGTATTAAAATCCGTCTGTCAACACAGTGTAATTGCTTCTATCTGTGCGTGCTCCCGGCGACGCTGAACCTCGATACAAAATAAGGTTGACAGCCATTCTATTGTGTATTAAAGTGTTATGTGCTTTTGGTGCTGCTATCTATGCGTTCGTGAAGTTTCATTACGATCAGTTCAGTCATTCCAAAAAATAACCCGCACATACAGACGGACAAGGCAAACAAAAATTTTTAAATGATTATTCGTCTTCATTGGTAGATATGCAAATATATAATATAATTCAGCTCAATATGAGGCAGTTATTATAGTTATATATTACAGATAGACAACAGACGGCTTCTTATTTGTAAAACTTATTAAACAACATCTTTAACCCCGATGAAGCTAGACGTTAACTAAGGGGCTTTACCACACGTATTTCACGTGCTTCACAAATTCACGCCAACAGAGCGCTGTAAGCGACCCAATGAGCAGACAGACTATGACTATATCGCGTCCGCAGTTTGTTTTGTATGCATTTAATACGTTTAAACTACACGTGACAATAGTCGTCGTGCGCAGCGGCCGTAAATAAATAAATATTTTTTTAGCAGCAGAAATTAAAGGTCTGTGCTGAGCATTGGGACGTTTATAGACTGTAATTTACATGAAGATCGCCCTAGCTTACAGTTTATTTACTTGATTACGCCAGTGTTTAACAAGCCGTTATTCTAACGTACATAATTTACACTTTTAAATTAGTTAAATATTATAAGAATTAAATAGTATTACAGGTTTAGTTTAAGTAGAAATTTAAAAAAATACCCCCATTCATTCATTTTTCATTCATTAATGGTACATAAAACTCCTTTCTTGAATTGGATCTCAATTTTAAGGCAGATTTGCCATAATCCCACTCTTCGTAAGTGGACTGGGGTTTACAACTTTGTCCCTTTGCCAATCTTCCCATCACCAGTCAATATTTTTACGCCAGGCGGGATTTGAACAGTTTTACAGTCTGAATATGTCAGAATCACGAAGACCTTTCTAGCATGCCGATAAATACATTAGACATCGAATGTAAATGTCTTTTTAAACTTTTTATACATAAAAACGTATAATTTAAAAAAAATCCAATGCTTACAAAATTTAAAAATTAAAATTGTTAAATAAAAATCAATGGTAATACCTAAACGTATTATATTTAATAAACACATCAAAATTTCGAATATAATAATTACTTAAAGTAAAAAAATACATAAGGCAGAGTAAACAATATACTTACCTATTACAAAAATTACAAAGAAAAATCTACTTCAAGATTGTAACACTTTAAGGAATTCCAGAATAAGCTTTTCTTAAATTATTGCAGTATCTGTTCAAAATCATATAAATTTTCTATTGCTCTAAAATTGCAATTTTCCATAACCGTAAGAAAAAAAAATCACAGCCATTCCTAATAACTCATGAGGAATGTAAAATAAAGGACAAAAACAACAAAGACAAACAAATCGTTAATATTAGCTATAAATAACGAAACTAATTTATATAATTTATAATACTTGTCTTTAATTCTTAAAACTATGTACCTACTTACGCTACAATTATTTTATTAAGGCACTTATAATATTTGAGGAAGAGCTGCTTTTTGATATAAAATGTTTAACAAAAATCAGTAAAATAACAATATTTATATCCTTATGATATAATTGTAAATAGCAAACTCAGTGAAATTATTTGTATACTTTTTCCAGGTAAGATTTATACATATTCGAGTTATATAATCAGTTTTGTACAGAGTAGTCTGCATTGCACAGAGTAGCTAATAAAATGTGTGCGAGACAAGAATAGGACTGTCAAAGTGATATTTGCAATATGAAAAAAATCACATTAAACATACATTAATAAAACTATATTGTGACCGCAATTTATTGTTTTTTTTTAATAAATAAACTTAAATAATAGTTCTGGCAGCGCGTCACGGCGATGTCATAAAATTGAAGGTTCGGGACTGATGTTGATAGTAAACAAAACCTAAATATATAATTTTTTTGGTAGATGCCTATCTTATTCTTATCCTGCACGCATAGTCATCACATTAGTACTAACTCACTGAATATTTGATTCTTTCTGTCTTAGCCTCTGCGCGGCTTGGAAAGTGTTGTGCATCAGCATCGCCACCGTCATAGGCCCAACACCTCCAGGAACAGGCGTGATAGCACCCGCAATTTTACTAACCTCTGAAAGCATACGACAGAATCAAAATATTGGCCAAGTGGGGTCCACTATGAAAATTAATCCAAAATATTTTCCAAAATGTAAATGAAAGTTTAGGTGACAAGAGAAGTTTCTGCATACCACGTGGTAAGTGGCTACTGTACTCTCAGACACTTAGAGCCAAATTCAAGCGAAGAATGCTGCAGGCGCATTAGCACCTCTCTAGGTTCCCTTCAGACCGGAACACAGCAATGCGAGCACTGCTGGTTGGCGGCATGAATAGGTGTTTGGTAAATAGGGACACCTAAGCAGACAGACACTTAGGCAAAAAAGGAGTCCTGCTTAATTTAATTAAAAATCCAAACAAGTGGTAAGATTAAAAATTTTATACAACCGTCATCAATGTAAAAAAAAATAAAAAAGAATCATCAAAATCGGAAAACCAAGAAAAAAGTTCTAATGTAACACACATAAAAAATACAGTCGAATTGATAACCTCCTCCTTTATTGAAGTCGGTTAAAAATAATAATAATCAAAACATTCAGTAAAATCTTATTACATAGAAGTGAGGTGGACAAACTGAGTCCCCTCCCACAAACCTCAAAGTAACCTCAAAAAGTTAAAACCAAAACGAGAGATGTATTATTTGGCATCATAATAAAATTAAGTAAATGAGAACTTAGATGTTCTTTGGAATTCAAATGTCCAAATTTTATAAAAGGCAAATATAAATGCTTAATTTAGTTAATACATATAAGTATTAGCAGTAAAGGAAAAATTGAAAGCGCTTACCGTCATAATCTACGTCCCCAACTAATTTTGTCTTTCCTTGCTCATCGGTGATTCTTGTAATTCCAACATCTATAATGGTTGCCCCTGGCTTAACCATATTAGCTTTTATCAGTTTGGGAACACCTTCAAATAGTACAAACATTATGAACAACTCAGACCCATAAACATTTAAAAAATATATCAAATATAAAAAAAATACAAAAGCCATATTTACTACTTTCTGGAACATCACAATTATAAAACGTACCTGTTGCAGTAATGATTATATCGGCATTGCGGCAGAAAAATTCTAATTTTTCTGGTGGGGTGTAACGGTGACATATAGTAACCGTTGCGTCCATTCCCAGGCCACTATTGTGATTTTTATCGCTGTGCAGCATCATGGCGATTGGCATACCAACATTTTTAGAACGGCCTACAACTACGGCATTTCGACCGAAAGTTTCAATTTTGTATCTAAAACAAAATACAAAACTATAATATAACCTCTCTGTTCATAAAGTAATCTTTGCAACTGGTTTTTCATTGATATTTAATATATTATAATATCTCAGACCAAGCAAGCAATGAGTAATATTATTGTTTATTATAAATGCGGCCATAAAAAGCTAATGTGATATGTTTAAAGAGGGTTATGACTGGGCCAGATTTCTATGTGCTGGAAGGGGAAGAGCATCTATCACTTGAACTAATTTTGACAGTGTCGTGAGAATCGAACATATGAAATGCCAGGGAGCTGTTTTGGTGTCTTACAGATATTGAAATACCCACTCTGTATGTTTACATATGGTGTGACTTAAAAGTATGTATGTTAAAGGAGTTAAAATAAACAGATCGGTGACAAGCAGGAACATTATTAACGCGCGATGTCTGGTACAGCCCGCATAAAATCGTAGTGATTATAGCAAGCAAATATCCGCTCCTAAACAACCTCCTTGTTTTTTTTTTGCCTATGTCCTTTAGTGTACTCAACGATTCCGGCACTGCTGTTTCTCAAAATCTATACATGACTAAGCATTCTAAATGGCAATTTAAAACTTCAACGATGCAAGTTCGAAAATCAACGATCGAACTACCATGAACTACAGACATATTTACTTATATTTCTAACGATTTTTTTATAGAATAAAGGTGATAAACAAATAACCTGACGGCAAAAGACCGTCACGTAATACCAACGTAATGCTGCTGTGGTCATGTGTGCTAATGGTTAATGTAGAGAAACAGAGACCCTTTTTACTGGAAACTTAATTGAGTATTATTGTAGATGTCTATAGACCTCAGTGTCCACTTTCCATCAGGTGGACTGTCTTGTCACCCTTATTCTATAAAAAGGGGGTTTGTGGCCCAGACCTGTCAGAAATGTCATCCCTGACAATCTGACTGAATCCGTTGTCACCCCTGAGAACTAAGATGGAATGCCTCGTTTCCAGTGAAAAGAAATTCAAATTTCTTTGGTTCTCTACGCTCACCATAGAAAACGCAACAGCATTAAGCCGCAATTATATGCTGGTATTCTTTGAAAGCGTCCTTCCCCAGTCGAGTCGACCATTCATGCTGCAACTATGATATAGCTGCAGCACGGCTCCGCCACGCAAACATAGATGTTCACACTCTGGTGAGTTAGGTATTAGAAAATTTACGATGGCTCCTGAACTACCTACAACTAACATCTACTTATATATTAAACGAGATACACATTGTCTACATGTACCGCAACAAACAATAAAAACTAGTTTCTTTTTTTCTTCTAGGTTTTAGAGTTCGTTGATGTATTGTACTTATATTTCGGAGAACTAAGTATTATAAATAATTACCAATTAAGATAAAACTGTTGTAAAACTGAGACTAGTGATATAATAAACTGTTCTTTTATCACACTATTTTATTGAATGCTTTTTAAATAGGTCAACTGCAGATTTGTTTTATTAGTGCTTCAAAGCATATAAAAAATAGAATAGTGATGGATTAACTATTGTTTTATATCCATCTGTGTACACGACCTCTTTTTAAAAGCTTATGAAATGAGAATAGTATAAAACAAAGTCGCAGCCTGTACACTTAAACCTTTTAAACTACGGAATTGATTTTGATGCGATTTTCATCAATAAACAAAATGAATCAAGAGGAATGTTTATATTATATATTATACATACACATTATAGTATAGAATTATAGAAATAAAAACCAATTGCCGCCAATATGAAAGATCATTACTTTAGCATGGACTGACTTTTTTTTTTAATTTTGATGAAAATTTTTGTGAGTGTTGTTTATCGGATGGTTCGCATTCACAATTGGACCTGGCAGGTGACCCTGTTCAGTTCCAGAAATCATCCGTGGGCAGCCGGGGGGTTACTAGTATATAATGTGAGAAATATTTATATAGTGACCCAAATATTTCATTTTAATAACTTTTTTAAATTAAAAATAGATATCCTTTTTTTACTCTGTGGTAAAATAGTATTTATTCTATGTTGGTACACCGGGGAAGGAAGAGAGAAGATTGTATAAATAAGCTGTTCTTGTTTTTGGAAGAGCGGAGTATCCTGGGACAAGCAATTTATTAAGTTTAATAGGAATCTCTAAACATAGCCATACATGCATTTAAGACTTAAATAAATGAAAATAAGGATACATATAAAGCTAAAACTATATAATCAAAGTCTAAAACATAATTAGGTCACAACTAAACAATGTAAAATTAAAATCAAATAAGTAATAATAACTTAATCAAATAAGTAATAAAATTAAGTTACTAACACCAGCACATACACGAATTTAGTCCAATTTTTATATCTTACAAAAAATCATATCAATATTATATTTTAAAAAATGCAATCACCAAAATATTATATCAATATTATTTTTTTTAAATTCATTTTTGCGGGCTTTTTTGGAAATACTTACCTGTTTCATCGTTTAAAAAAAAACATGGAATACAATAAAAGAACATGTTCGGTATAAAATTTGGTAATATTTTTTCTTAATAAAAATGATAATTGACACAACCTATTTTTTATAATACCTCATACCATTATATTTTTGAATAAATTATTCAAATGTGGCTAAAATTATTGTGCATACACATATAAATATATGGTTAGAATTATGAATTATCAATTCTCTGTGCTGAGATTTATTTTTAGAAAACTTAACTTTAAAATATAAACTAATTATTAATTTAACTTCTTGCCAAAAACGTTTGTAGGTATAAATAGACAAAAGTATTTAATGTAAGGTATAATTAGGTATATGTAAATGCATCCATCCATTCATTACAGCCGATAAAATTCACTGCTGAACAAAGGCCTCCGCCAGACTACCTCACAGGGGGATTTTGACATATTTATTATTCCGAGTTGGTATCACGAATTTGCTACTATGTAAATATTCATTATTAAGGCGACACCGCAAAAAAATGCACCTCTTTCATCAAATTGTATAGGACTATGACACCACTAACGAAAGTGGAATTTTGATATGGGTAAATTCATGTCTTTATATTGAATTTGCTTGTTCAAAAACACTATTGTATAATTTTGGCTCGATCATAATTATTTGCGAAAACATCTCTAAAAAATCACTATAGTTGAAATTCCAACGCAATTACTCAATCTATATGCTTGGGAATCACTCAAATATATTCATAACATCAATATTCATAATTTACTTGCGCATTATTTTAATTGCTTAAATCACTGATTTAAAAAAATATTTTAAGATTTTGACAATTTTTAAGCCGTCTTAATCGTCGCGGGCGCTACGCAATTTTAGACCTTATGACGGCGTTTTTTTAAGTTTTTATACAAATTATGTATTCACTTAGATCAGTTCAGCGATAGCCCAGAGCCACTTTTCGTTATGTCGTCTTAGTATGTGTGCCGAATCATAGAGCAGTTTTAGCAATTCGAACATTACATTTATTACAGTGTTTTATAATAATAATAACCATGTTTAAACAACATATTATTTAATACAAATCTGACTACACTTATTTAAAGAACAAATGAAATTAATGAACATAAATTCAACCAAAGATTAGTAATTTTTATTTAGTTTTTTTTTTTTATAGGATAGTTTGACAAACGAGCACACAGGCCACCTGATGGTAAGTGGTTGCTGTGGCCCATAGACATCTAAATCTATCCTCGATGACGAATCAAATGCAGATGCGCTGTCATCCGTGAGGGCTTAGGTGGAATGCCTCGTTTCCAGTAAAAAGGGTCTGGTATTCTGTGAGAGCATGGTCCTTCCCCAGTCGAGCCGACCCATTCGTGCTACAACTATAATACTAATATAACTGCAGCATGGCTCTACCATGTATATTTTTTTATTTATTTTTTATTTTAACGTTATTCAACAGCTATGCAACAGAAGTTAGTTAACAATCAGCAACTATGAGGCAATCTATGGGGGAGGCCTATGTTCAGTAGTGGTCTTTTATAGACTGTAATGGTAACAGTATTACAAATAATAACATGACATGGACTTACCTTTTCAAAATTTCTATTACAGCAAGTGCAGTTGCTGGCACTAAAGTTGGCATATCTAGACACAGTTGACCAATATTATTTATATGAAAACCATCAACATCCTTCTCTGGAGATACCACATTGCATACTTTTCTTTCATCCATAGTACCAGGCAACGGAAGCTGTACTAATATTCCATCTACATTTTTGTCAGTATTTAACGAATTAATTGCAGCAATCAGATCATCCTCACTCAATGTTGCATCATATGTGATAGTTGTTGCATCAATTCCAATATCTATTGCTGCTTGTATTTTATTCTTAACGTATGTATGGCTTGCAGGATCATCTCCAACAATTATACAACGAAGCGACGGTGCTCGGTGTCCTAGGTTAACAAGGCCATGGATTTTTGTCTTCAACTCGTCTTTAATTTCCTTTGCAAGTGCTTTTCCATCGATGATTTGGGCCATTATTCTATTTAACAAAAATTAAACAAATGTGTAAATATATTAGTTTAAAATGTAAGTAAAAATGTGCACACAATAATAGCTGCCCTTGCTAAAAGTAAAAAAGAAATATTTTCTAAAAGTACAAAGCAGTAACTAACATTGTTATGGGTTAGTGGAAATTCGACTTATTCTAAAACTTAGAGCAGGGACCAAATTCCCTTTCTCAAAATTGTTAATAATTTCCTTGTCCCTCATTGTTTTGATTTTCGGACAAATGTAATCATTAACCAACCATGGAGGTGGCATAGTTACTATTGTTATATACTGAGTGACAAACTATTAAAAAGATACAGAAAGTCAATGAATGCAGATGGCTTAGGATCATGCTCCAGCATTCTTTTTGAGAGTTATGTTCAGCAGTGGATTTACTCGTCCCACATTGTTTTGATTTTCGGGCAAATGTAATCATTAACCAACCATGGAGGTGGCATAGTTACTATTGTTATATACTGAGTGACGAACTATTAAAAAGATACAGAAAGTCGATGAATGCAGATGGCTTAGAATCATGCTCCAGCATTCTTTTTGAGAGGGTTATGTTCAGCAGTGGACTAATGACGGGATGATGATGATGAGTTTTTAATTTAGCAAAAGCGAAACTTCTCCCTGGTCCAAGTTGCTCCCTAAGCTAATTACAGGAAATTAATAAATATATCTCATTTAATAACTTTTTCAAAAATAAAAGCTAAAATTAAACTTCATGGAAAGAAAACAGCCATAAACACACAGAAAGCAACAAGAAATTTAATACAATATAATAAAACATTAGTACACAGTATAATCAGATAGTTTCAGTTATTATGCATTACCTGGCCGCTCCCATTGACTCATAGTAAGTATGACTTCTCATTGTGGTAGTCAAAAGTGAACTGATTACCCGAAAGCAAATAGTTTGCCTCATTGCTTACTGTTGACGTACATAGGTCATTAGTTCAAATTCGTTTAATAACATGAAGCAGATGAATGTGATAATACATAAAAATAGTTACCACAAATATCTGGAAATATCTACTATTTTACGGTTTAAAGGTGTTAAATTGGAGCAATTATATACAAAAGGTTACTAAGTTCAAATAATATTAATGTGGCTTCAATAAGATTGGATAGTACTGGCTAAAACTGCTTTCATAATTGCGATAAGTGATATTCAAGACCCTGTATTTCTAGTCAAAATTAAAATCAAAGGTTATTCCTTTCGTGAATGTGGTCTAGATGAAACTACCAAAAACAACCTTTTTTAATTGTTAAAATCATCCAATACCCTAATATTCTAGTATGACTGTCTTCCCAAACCAATATCTCACCTAGTTAAATGTTAATATGTTAAGTAAATCTATGTATGTCAACATTATCTGATAATATATATTTAAATATATAATATTAAATATTATCTTTTAATTATTAACTTTAGTTTCAAAGATCGGACTTTTATAAAATGATTGTAATAATAATGTCCTTAAGAATGAATTTTGGTTACAGCGGCCAATCTCAACGGAGACTAGCCAGAATTGACCTCACAATATCAAAGACCATTATATAAAAAAATAATTATGGAAATATATTTAATCATAACATACATTTTATATTTTAAATGAAGAAAACTCTTAATCAATTTTATGACCCAAAAAGAAAAAGTTATAAGTACTCTAGTGCAGCCAAGTAAGCTTAGTTAGCACTCTTATTTCTTTACCTCTAATTACTGTACAAACTTTAATAATATTTTTACAGTATATTGAATATATATTTAATATCATTATATTTAGATGTAATAAATAACAAAATATATTGTATACTTCATGATATAGCTTTTAATTGTGTTTCAAACAAGACAATGCAGCCTGATATGTTAACACTGCAATTACCCATTAAAATTTGTATTCATTAACATAAAGAAAATGTTGATATGTTAACACTGCAATTACCCATTAAAATTTGTATTCATTAACATAAATAAAAAGCAACTTAATTAGATATGTTAACACTGCAATTACCCATTAAAATATGTATTCATTAAAATAAAGAAAATGCAACTTAATTGACAACCTTTTTAAATTCCATAAAAGTAATTTTTCCCTGTTGCCTAAAGACACCCATGGGATGAGATCATGGGGTAATGGGTTCTCTTATATGGCTAATACATGATATTTTTGTTTATGTAAAGCAATTTTTCAATTTCAAATTGACAAAAGTATTATACAAATATATAAATATTTAAGATTTTTGTAAACAAAAGTATTAAATGTTTGAATTATTTATATGTTTGATATTGATATTATAATTATTGTAAACTGATGATATAATTATTATAAACTGAATGAAAGTAAAACCTGCCTACTGAGTCAAGAATAATACTTCATATTTTGACTAGCAGATAACATAGGACACATGGTAGAATTTTTTTTATTGAAATGAATAGTGTTAAGATGTTTATTCACAAAATACTTTATTTAGTTTGATATAAACTTAAATGGTTATATGAAATATTCTTGTATTTATGGTCAAACATATTTTGTACCTTGAGAAAATTTTACTAGGAACAACAGGAGTAAGTGATAAGACTGCCTTACTGAGTACAACCCAAGTACTACAACCCAGATAGTGGCAGTGTAAGAATATTCAATAGCCCATAACATACACTGAAACAAACCAGGAGATGGGCAGAAGCATCTTACTTATAAACAACTAAAAAAAACGAAGTTGCCAACCCGCTTAAAAAGCATGGTAACTATGGTAAATATCCCTCCTATGACGAAAGCTATAGGGGAGGCCTATGTTCAGCAGTGGAATTTGATAGGCTGTCACAGTAACTGAGTACTGAATGAACTTGTGATCCACTCTATGGCAAATGACTGCTGCAGCTAATGAACAACTACAACTAATTTCAAAGAAAGATGAAATAATTTCTTATATTTACGCGAACACTACACATTGAAATAATACTAGTTTTTACGGAATTTATCGCGTATATTTTAACTTTTTAAATACCCGATGTTTCGAACGCTTTACAGCACTCATGGTCACGGGCAGCAGTGTCCATGAGTGCTGTAAAGCGTTCAAACGTCGGGTATTTAAAAAGTTAAAATATACGCGATAAATTCCGTAAAAACTAGTATTATTTCAAAGATGAAATACCTCATCCTTATAACCCTTAATTATAATTATCAACACAAATAAGAAATTGAAGTGTCTGTCTGTTTGTAATGTCAAAATAACAGTTTTTTACTAAATGCATGTGAATGTATATATGGTACTTATAACAAAAGTACAAATTATAAAATTTTTGTGTCTCTATGTCGTTATACGCTGATGTTATAAGGAGTAACTTAGGCTACTTTTATTTTAGAAACATGGTTAAGGTTTCTCACAAAAAAAATTAAAACCCACAAAATCCAATTGTAATTAACTCCATGCGGGCTAAGTCGCAGGACACAGCTAGTAATATTATAAATGTGAAAGTTTGTTAGTTTGGATGTTTATCAATGAAGAAATGGCTGAGGAGATCTTAATGAAATTTGGTTCAGAAGGACACAGGATACTTTTCTTAATGCTAGTAAGTACTAATTTGGGGTGGGAAATTACAAAGCCTCAATAAAGCAGGCGGGCTAGTTGGTAGGCTGTATACCAGTAGCATATAATTGTGGTACAAGAAGTTGGCACAAAGCTTAGCCTAACCAGAATATTAGTAGTTAATTGCAATTATTTGTATTTATTTTGTTATATACATGATTATTTATATCAACAAATACATAAAAGGTCAGTAAAGTTACAGCTAATATATTTATATCACTAGCTATTACCACTGAATTTGTCTGCATAGAACTTAAACTAAACTGTAATAGTGGTCTTTCGGAAACTATTTTTACAATCAAAAAAGTAATTATTTGCTGTGACATTCCATCTAATTTCTTAGAGGTGATTTGTTTACAGTTAGCTGATGGTAACCATGGACTGCAGTAACCACTTACTTGCAGGTGAACTGTAAGTTCATTGTCACTTCAGATTTATAAAAAAAATCAAAATCTCAATAAATTTTTATCTCAAAAATTAGGCGTGATATGAGAATAAGATTAGTTTAGTGGGAATATGATAAAACTTTAAGTACTTATGATTTTCCATAAAACGGGGCACGTTATCACCTTAACACTGGCTGTTTAGAAAATTTAAGTGACAAACAAACTGTAGTTCACTTGTCGGTAGCACTTGTGTTGCTTTCTTATAAAAAGGTTAAGTCGAAAAATATGTAAAAATCGATTTTATTCCATATTTTTCAGAAAGATACAGCTATTTTCATTATTGGCATTGGCATATTCTATACTTGTGAATAAAGTTTCATCACAACCTGTTTAATACATTCGGAGTATTGGTCCGGACAGACAGAAAGACAAACAAACATTACAAAGCATACAAGCTTAAGCATGCAAGTAACATTTTACGATTAGAAGCTAATTATTTCAATATTAAAGACATAACCTTCAAATTTATTTACATGCGGATAGATTGTTAATACTAAGTATTTAAAAATACAATATTCAAAATTATTTGATTCAATACAAGTGTTAAAAGCATAATATGTATCAGCTACACATTTGATTAGGTATAACGAAGGAGCAAATATATTTGTTGCTGATAATCGGTTACTTTGTTAGTGACAAAGACCTACTCCTACTTTTTTTACAAAAATTTGCTATGTTTAGGTCATGAACTTTATGTAGTTCTGACTCTGTCATTATCAAATATTAGTAAAATTTACGCTATTAAAATTTATAAACAGTGGCAGATAACCTATGAACAATTATAAAATAAAGAAAATTTGTCGGTAACCAACTTACTTTTAAATCTAAATCAAAACTCGAAGTCAATAACTCTTTTTAGTATTTACTAGGCACTATTTTCTGATAGTTAACAGTTATTCATCAAAATTCAGAGGTTAATTAAAGTACACATTAGCCACGACCACAGAACACATAGACCTCTAAAGGGGGCCACGACATACCTGCCGACAATTGACAATTGAAATTTGAATTAGGCTTGGTAAGAAATATCGATATGTTGGCATAAAAATATCGATATATATATTGTCGATATTTTTAGTTCCTGTATATCGATATTAGATATTTAATTTAGAGTATCGAATTCGTATCAATTTCAATATACTTGTAAATGTTGTATTGATCGACAAAACATTAAGCAAGCAGCTACAAAAGCTTTCATGTGTAGTTTTTTTTCCCAACCTTTCAGTAATAAAATTTTGGGCCTTATCATACTACATCATGCAAAACATGACGGTATGTCAATATTTATCACACGATATATATCGATACAATATACATCAATATTTTTTTCACTTGCCCATCCCCAAATTGAATGGACAGAACAGAATAAATAATAGTACTAGGTATTGACAATAGCAATTGCAGGTACAGATATGAGTATCTTATAACAAAATCACAAATACAGCTCTTATAATACTCTCTCTCTCTCCGGCGTTTGTAATAACAACAGAATTTGATTTTACAAAAATATTATGATCAACAATAATATGGTATAAGTTTAGACACTGTACATAATAAAAGTGACATAAACAGATGCGTTAAAATCTAAGCTAATGAAACTACAGAAAAACGGTTTTATCACTCGCAAGGCAACACATTAATGCAGGAACCATCCCTTGTATACTTTCCATTGTTGGACACACTGGTTATTTTTATAAATTAAAAATATCTCAGGAGATTTGAAGTCCGCTGGTACCTTCTCGTTGGGACAGCGCGGCAGATTCTTTCTTCCTTAAATTATTCAATTTTTTATCGCTTACGCTCATCACGC